TATATTTTATATCTCTCTTTCTCTTTCTCTGCTCTTAGGTCCCATGCTGGGTCAGCGTCATGTGCAGACGTTTTTGCTTTTTCTTTCGATCATCGTCAACTACATAGCCAAGTTCAATGCTGGCGTTGCTGTTGTGGCCATGACCAATGCGGAGACCACGAATCCCAATTTCCCAGTGAGTACATGTGAATAGAATTCAAGTCGAGCTGAACTGAATTAAGAATTCGAATAGGAATACGATTGGAATGAGATGGAGCGTTCGTTTATCCTGTCCAGTTTCTTTTGGGGCTATATTCTGACCCAGTTTCTGGGCGGCTGGTTGTGTCGCCACTATGGCGCACGCTGGACCATGTTCTTGTCCACGTTCGGCTCGGCTATGCTGGTGCTGCTGGTGCCCTTCTTTGTGCCCTGGGGCGGCTGGCAGGCATACTGCGCCATCCGTGGCTGCATGGGCCTATTTCAGGGTCTATTGTTTCCCTGCCTGCATGCCCATCTGGCCAACTGGTGCCCGGCCACGGAGCGCAATCGGCTGGGCGCCTTGGCCAACATGGGCCTGGATTGCGGCACACTGCTGGCCATGTATGTCAGCGGACAGGTGGCCGCCTCCAGCCTGGGCTGGCCCGGCATCTTCTACATCTCGTGCGGCGTGGGCGTGGTCTGGTGCGTTGCATGGCTGATCTTTAGCGCCGATACGCCTAGGCAGTCGAAACTGATCAGCAAAGCGGAGCTGAACTACATTGAATCATCGATCATCGATGCGAACAGCAAGCAGGAGGAGATCAAGGCATCGCATGAAATACCCGTGCCATGGAAAGCAATTCTCACCTCGCTGCCCTTCTGGGCGCTCTTCTTGGTGCGCTGCACCCAATCGTGGGGCTACTCGACGCTACAGGCCGAGATTCCCGCCTACATGAATGGCGTGCTGCTGCTGGACATGAAGAGCAATGCTTTATACTCGGCGCTGCCCTATTTGGCCTCGTGGATCATGGCCTTCATCTACTTGATTCTTTCCGATATTCTGCTAACACGAGGCACTCTCACAATTACGGGCATTCGTAAGACATACAGCTCACTGGCCTCCTGGCTGCCCGCCATTAGCCTGATTGGCCTGAGCTTCTTAGACAGCAATCAGAAGACCTTGGCCATTGTTCTGATGACAGTCAGTGTGGGCATCAATGCCGGCTCTACAATCGGCAGTTGTCTCAACACCATCGATCTGTCGCCCAATCATGCCGGCATCCTGATGGGCATTGTTAACACTGGCGCCAATGTTGTGCCCATTCTGACGCCGCTGCTGGTGGGAATGATAGTTAAGAATGAGGTAAGTCTCTAGAAATTTCAAAAATATAGCTTTAGATATACTAAATCAATCTTCAATATTTTAGCACGATCGCTTCCAATGGCAGTGGGTATTCATTATATCTGCTATCGTATTGTTCTTTGGCAATCTGTTCTACATTATCTTTGGGCGCATGGTGAACCAGCCCTGGAATGACGCTGACTTTCTAGATCATCAAAAGCAACCGCTCAGCCAGGAGGAGGGACGAGCAGCCAAAGTCAAATCCAAAGCCTTGGAAGCACATAATGCTGCCGTGACTCGATCAACGTAGCCAACGTGATAGCAAGAAATATGAAGTAGCAGCGCTAATAGAACTTAGTAATATCAATTAAGAACCACTCACGGCTGTGTCGTAGATAAACAGCAAACTCTAGTTAATAAATATATATGTATTTAGAGACTCAGCAAATAATTTCTAATACTTCTTATCTGAATTCACTGAATGACTGCGTACTACTAGCTAATCTTCTTTTCAATTATGTTCTAAAGCAATCGATTTCAATTATATATATAATTGAATTTGATTTGAATGTGACTTTGATAGATTTTGAACTTGCAGTGAGTGATAGGAGTATAAATTTATAAATATTTTTGAGATTCTAGTAACATGAACCCTTGATGAAGTGACAAAAATATTCATATATCTGGTCTTAAATAATTAAGTCACGGTTATACAGCCACAGAATACAGTAGAATTACTTAATTATAATAAGCTTAAAAAAAGCAAACACAAGAAAGCTAACAGAAAAAAGATTATTCAATATGTTGGAAATAGGAATGGATAATTTTTAAGATGAAATACAAAAGTCAGTAGCTTATCAATAAAAGAGTATTAAATAAGAAACATAAAAAACAAAAACAATAAGAATAAAAAACAAGTAAGAAAGCTTTAGTCGAGACTAAACTAACTTGAGACATCAATGCCAAATACTGCATATTATGAAGCTTGTGTAAGCCCTGACATAAAGTCTACATCTAGTCTGACATCTATAAGTCTAACAATCTATCAACAGATTAAGCCATCAGTTTAGCAACTAATCAATTTTTATAACTATTTATCGATTTCCATAACTATTTATCGATTTCGATAAATATTTACCGACATCTATGAAACAAGTGGAATTATTAATAATTTCTGCTTGTGTTAAGACAGCTGCATGACAAAAGCTGAATGCTACGGCACTCGACTATTTATTGATTTCGATAACTATTTAT